GGATTGGCACTGATCTCCTTTCTCATGACGCCGGCAAGGATTGTTTTATTTTTCAGAAAGCAAATTAGCTACCAGCATGGTGTGTATTCGCCTTTGTAAGTCCGACAGCGTGGCACTCGCTTATCAACCGGGCAAGGAAGAAATTCAAATGACCCTGGCTTGGCCTCGACCTCTTGCTTCTACGACCGACTCTACCGAGCCGAGTGAGCAATCGAGGTTCAAACGATCGACTGAGGCTACCACTTGCAAGTTCCTTGCTGAAGGGAATCGTTGTAAGGACAAAAATCTCTTCTACCATGACTGAACTCGGAACCTAAAGAGCTTGAAGCCGACTTCAAGCACTGCGCCAGCACGCAAAACGTAGTTTCAGCTAGCTGATGATGATGAGTTCTATATGTTTTTCTACGCATCGTTTTCTATGACATCGTTAGTGGAAATGCCTTTGAAAGATGTCATGCGAAATGGGTGATGGATGCATATTCGAAGCTAATTTTTAATTCAATGTTAAAGATCGCCGGTATGATGAAATTATTCAGAATTATTTAATATTTTAAAACTTCAAATTAAATTGCCATTGAACTTAATTGAAAGGTCGTACCTCCAAGAAAATACCACGATGACATTATAGCCAGAACCCATGAGGCTGAAGACGAAGTTGTGTTGAAATAGTCTATCCACGATGGAAGGAAGATGTATCCGGCGTTGAAAACGCAAGCTCCATCGATCAGGTTGCTGGCAAACGCCGAAGCAACGACCACCCAACCCCAACCGCCGTCCGGAGGTTGGATGATAGCTTCTGAGAGCAAACGATTGTCGTTGTCCCAACCGTCGGTTGTCTTTGATTTCGTGTTGTCAGCAACACCAGCGGTGGATCGTCCAAGGGCGTCGTCAGCGTTTGGAATGAAATGGTCCTCAATTGGCCAGGCTTTTTTAACAAAATCAGGCGGTTCCTTGTCAGCTTTCTTAAACATTCTGAAAAAACATCTGTAACGCAATTAGTGATACAAAATTTGATAGATCTTCCCCTTACGAAATAATCAGCTCTCCGCCTTTGAACCAGGGCTAGGGAAATATTAGGTCAGAAACACTTAAACTGGCCAGAAAAGAGGAATCAGCAAAAGAGTTCAAAAACCGAACCAAAAAAGTGAGCAAAAAGGACCATGAAAAAAAACCAGTGGTGATAGTGAGGTAAAAATGAGGTCAGGGAAAATAGTTTAGGAACTCGTAAGAGATCAGAATACAATCAATGCTTCCTGAACCTGTCATCATGGCTTTGTTCCGCCTATGCTACATTACAAACAATTAATTGGTAAGCAATTACAAGAGATTTTATTGCAAGAATCGAACGGGGTAAAGGAGGAGACTTGTTGCAGAGGACGCTTTAACATATTTCCAAATTTATACCATACTCGACTTTGACATAAACATTGGAATTCAACGAACGTTCAAGTGCTGATATATTAATTATATAACCGTGCCACGAAATGGTTCCAATGCTTCATTGGGAAGGGATGTCAGAAAGAGATAACTCCAGAGTTTGAGCGTTTGATTCCCTTGTTGGTCATATTAAAACAGCACAAAGCGCGGTTTATTTATATTTAGCGCACATAATATTGTCACCTGGCTGTTTGATCACTACCTATGTTTCGGTCCGGATCTCACGGACTTCATTCCAGGAAAGAAGATGTAGAGATATGAAAATCCCGCTGGCTCTGAATTACGAACGGAAGCAGATGACCAGAAGGACTGCTGAAACAAGTTCACCTCTTTACAATGAAAAACGTCAATGAGAAACGGGTCAAAATGTTGGTATTGGTAAATCGCCTGATCGACTAGATTATTTGCGCTGTGAATAAACTCCTCCTCTGCTCTCTCTGCTGTTTTCGACTGGATAAACGTCACAATTTGAAATTACAAATGTATGAATGCATTTTCAAAAATTGGCAATAAAGTTTGGTTCCACGGTGATCGTCATTGTCATTGTTTTCTGAAATGTCAGATCCTTAATAAAGGTTGTTAAGATTATTTGTACTTATAACTATTATAAAATGCGGCTGTTTAGAACTAATTTATCGATGGTTCCAAATACAAAGCATTGATCGATGTGAAATTCTTTATTGGAAATGCCGAGGCTCCAGCCACAAGATATTGGCCATCATGAGGGCCACAATGCGTTGCAGATGGCTGACTGATTTCACAAAAAATGGCAGTTACAACAGGAGGTAGAAAGAGTGACGCATTAAAACATCCAATGATGCAATTGGTCAACCTCGTGCTTTACGTACGCTGAACGAGCTGATGGTGTCGTTAAATATCGTACTTGAATTATCAGAAATATGCACTGTTTCCTTGATCAACAGCTTTTGTGATTTATCGAGACGACATTGGTTTCTTCCAGCTTGAAAATACCAACGACTCACCTAAATGAGTGACTGGTTGCCATCCGGAAATAGAAAGAAAGTGAAGTCCGTTGCATCACTGGATTAATCAAGTCCAAAGATATCTCATTACGTTCACACATATCACGTAATAATCCCTTCAAACGCAAAATGGCGGTCTTATTTTGTGTTGCGATGTTTCCCACGCAACCTCAAAGCTGTTCCTCTTCAAAGTGATGTAATGCAAAGGAGATCAGCCCTCTTCTAATTGTTTTCACGACTGATCATTTCACAAGTGCATCTGGACAGCTGGTCAAACATCGAAACAGCCGGATCAGATATTTGAGTGGCCAACCAACTCGCAGATCGCATTGGAAAAAAGGTGCATAAAATTATAATATTGGGACACTTGAACAGGAATTATGTCTGAGAAGAGCGGCCATTGAGAAACGCATCGATAATAGAAATGGTATAGATCTTCGCCAAGCAATAGTCGAAATAAATAAAATGACTCTATGTAATTGGTCTTATAGTCTTAACTGTTGCATAATTTGAAGATTCAAAAAGGCGAAGTGAAAACTCATACCCTTGAATGCACGTTTTAAGGCATAAAGTTTGAAAAACACAGACTTAAAAACGCTTTTAGACCTTACCTCCGTAACATCGAATTCAAAGCAAACGACCACCCTTAAATTTGACCAAAAGAATCATTACTTACATGCTCAAACGATGAAGCAAAGGTACTGTAGCTTGTCGTCGGTCACTGCGTGGCTAAATAACGGCCATTACAACTAGGGTCATTTGGCATTGGCTCTTTTCATCGTGCTTATGGCAATTGTTCATAAAGGTTACTTTTTAATTTTAAATTTTGTTTTGATGACACGTTCGTCACACCGGTTATGGTCAATAACGGGTCAGACTGGTGGTAAAATTACAAAATCCCGTTTTCACGGAAGCTGCTAACTTTTCATTGTTATTGGCGAAGTTTTATTGAGTTCATTGTGAGTCTGCGTATAAAAGCGTTCGGTGATTTCACTGAACAAACATCGCCTGGACTCTCTGCCTCGCTGATGCGGTGCGTTGAAGGCAAATATTCTATCCTTCACGTGCCTGCTGATCGCAGGACTTCACGGGAATGTATTTTTCCGTTATTAAAGTTGACAAACAAGAAAATAACAACCGGAAGCTGAGACATTCAGTTTATACTCTGAAATAAGTCTGCCTGAGCATAGCGTACTTTGACTAAAATCGGTCACTCGGTCCGTTTTTCCTTTTGTAGCCTATATTCCTGACCGGATGCCAGTGTTAGAGCTTCGATAGAGTAAAAGCTGAGTCGAATAGATTCCCTCGATACACTTGCCCCAGGTTACACTTGGACATCCCCGGGGTATTCGTAGTAGCTGCTTCGCCCTCCTTTCTGAAAGCATTAGCAAGACGTGCCCAAATTATCCTAGCTGTTACTTCTCTCTCTGCAGAAGCTGCGGCTGAACAACAGGGCTTTTCAAACCGCGTCAACACTCTTGAGCTTAACGAGTTGTCTCAGAAAGCCAATTTCATTCGATTGCAATCGACATCGAGGTTTTTCAGTCACGGGGCGACTCTTCACCTCAGCCGAGGATCGACTTGAATACCGGCAGTGTGTAATCCTCACATTAGGCTCTGCTTTGGTCAAAGAGGTTCGGGTTAGTTTGCGCAGAACGTCGCTGGCAATTCCAGTTTGTCACTCGTTCTCTTCCTCGCAGCTTCCATCACCAGCACCACGATCTTGAGGTGCGGGA